ACTGAGATGGAGGGTTCCAAACTGGGTTTGGGTTTCCGAATCCTGTTGAGGATATTATGAAAGCTAGGGGGATGCACATCTCAGAGTGGGGACACGCCCACCTCTGCCATTCCGTAATTATGGCTGCACAGCAAACCACTCGCTGGGGCTGTCAAACAAGCCTCCGTTGTATCATGTGTGTGGCTTTGGGGACTCAGGCAGTCCACGGTGGGAACGGCTTGTCCCTGCCTTGTGGTATCTGGGGCTCCATTGGGAAGACTCAGACCGCTGAGCTGAGCAGTGGTTGAGGCCAGAATGATCTGGAGGCTTGTTTTGTTTTGTTTAGAGACAGGGTCTCACTTTGCACCCAGGCTGGATTGTAGTGGTGCCATCATAGCTCGCCACAGCCTTAAACTCCAGGGCTCAAGTGATCCTCCCCCTTCAGCCTCCCAAATTACCGGGACTAGTGTCGTAGCAAGCACCACCACACCCAGGTAATTAAAACAATTTTTTTTGTCTAGATGGGGCCTCGCTATGTTGCACAGGCTGGCCTCAAACTCCTGGCCTCAAATGATCCTCTTGCCTCAACCTCCCCAAATGCTGGGATTACAAGAGTGAGCCACCGAGCCTGGCCTGATCTGGAGACGTCCTCATTCACACGTCTGGTGTCTGGGCTGGGAGGCCAGGGAGGCCTGCTCACGGAGGGTGTGGGTCGGGGTAGCCAGGCACAGCCCCTCCTCATGGTGTGGGCTACCCCCAGGGGTTGGGAGAGGTGGGCTCCGGGAGAGAGGGGGAGACAACCCAAGGGTGAGCACTCCGAGAGACCAGGGGAACCCGCCTGGCCTCTGTGACATGGCCTTGGCAGTCACGTGGCGTCTCTGGTTGCACAAACTCAAGCAGCTGAGATTGCAGGAGAGGGGCTGCAGAGGCCACCTCTCAGGGAGGCCCACAGGGGAACGTGCGGTCGTTAGAGACAAAACACAACACCACATGGGCAGACACAGCCCGACCAACAGAGTCCTCGAACCCCAACTCTGAGAATTGGACAGCCACACGGGTGATCTTTCTCTATCTCCCCGGGGCTCAGCTCCACTCTGCGACTCCCCTGCCGTCCGGGGTGGCCCACAGGGGTGCTTCCTGCCTGGCCTGCGGTCACCTACGTGGGCGCCTTTCTGGTCTGTCCTTTTCTCTGCAGCCAGGAGGATGCTTCCCAAACACAGATTCGCGGCTGCATGCCCCCACCCCTGTGCTCCCATCTGACTGAAAACCACTTTCACTGGCCTCTGCAGCCAGGCCCCATGCTGTACCCACCGCTCTCCCTGACCTGGCTTGGTCACCTTCTCTGTGGTCCTTGCTCACATTATGCTTCTTGCTGCCACAGGGCCTTTGCATGTGCTGGTTTCTCTATGTGATGCTTTTTTCTGCCCTCTTTGCGTGGCTAACTTCTGCTCATGGATATCCACAGTCGCTTCCTCAGGGATGTGCTTCCGACTCCCTGCTCAGGTCACAGGACGGCACAAATTTCATCTGTGACACTGATTGTTTTTGATTTGAGAGAATGTTTGATTTAAGTGCGTATTGCCCATGGGGTCATGAGTTACATGAAGTCAGAGGCCACATCTGTTTTCTCCCGAAGACGCTGCCTACCCCAGTGTCTGGCAGACAACGGACCTTGGCCGATGGCAGGAAGAAAAGAGGCAGGAAGGAAGGAGGGAGAGGGTGGGAATGAACGAATCTAGAATATGCATCATGGGATGCCCCCGGCAGCGGGAGGAGCTCACCAACTGCCAGCCCGTCCTGTTCTTGTGGCTTTAATAATCAGGAAGGCCTTCCCTTATAATGAAGTTCTGATCCCTCTCTTTGTACCTTCTTCCCGCTGCCCTCATTCTACTGCAGCTAAGGGACACACCCAGCCCCTTTCCACGGCTTTCCGGACGATTCTGGTCCTGCCACCCATCTTTCCAGGCGTTTACTGACTCTGTTCCCACCCTCACCACAGAGAAGGGCAGACGGATTCCCCGGGGTCAATGACAGGCACAGACGCTTGTCAGCCAGTCCCCAGGGCCCTGTCTTACCCTATGTCAGTCTTGCGAGTTTCATGTTCCCCTTGGGAATGTGTGTTTATATAGAAGTTCTTTTTCCCTAAACTTTTGATAAAATAGATTCTTCAGGGTGGCGTGTCTTCTCTGTCGGGAAGCTGCAAGCCCACCGGGGTTGTCTTCTGCAGCATGGGAATCCGGCGGGACCCCTCTTTCTGACTCGGTTTCCCCTCTGTAAGGTCAACACCTCCTTCAATATCCTGCCCTGGCAGGTGTCATTCCTCGTGCCCGTCTTCAGCTGTGCCGCTCGGAGCCCTGTCCAGCTGACCAGGTGTGCTCTGAGGGCAGAGAACAGGGGCCTTGATCCTCTGGAAAATCAGCTGGCTTTCAGAGCTGTAGCCTGGATGGTGGTTGTCTCTGGAGAGGAGCCGGGGGTGGGGGGGAGGCCGAGAGAGCCAGGAGGAGGGCTCTGAAGACACAGGTTTGCTGTTTAAGCGGAAGGTGGGCTCGCGAGTACTCGGCTCATCGTTTATTCTCCATACCTTACATGCAGGTGTTATTTCCCAAGTGCGAAACGTTTTCTAGTTTGAGGGTGGAAAACTGTGAGCGCAATCTGGGAACGTGTTTCCTGCCAGCCTGCACTCCCTTCGGGCTCATAGTGACCCCGTTACCCGCCTGCAGGCAACACAAGCTGCTCCTAGAGAGGTGTTCCCCCTCTCTTCCTGTCCAGGTAAATGTGGTGCCAAGGACCAGCCTTCACTTAACCTAGCCAGTGTCTTCCCGTGGCGGTGATTTCAGGCGATGGACAGGCTGCTGAAACGTGCTTCTCTGAAAGCCTTCATGCCCGTGATTCTTCAGAACTTGGCGTCATTTGCTAATTTAGTGGACATACTTTCTTCCTTGGCTTTGCGCACATCATCGGATTTTTGATTTAATTTAATTTTTTTAGAGACAAGGCCTGGCTCTGTTGCTCAGGCTGGAGTGCAGTGGCGTGATCATAGCTCACCCCAGCCTTGAACTCCCGGGCTCAAATGTTCCTCCTACCTTAGCCTCCTGAGTAGCTGGGACTCCAGTCATGAGCCACCATGCCTGGCTAGTTTTTTAATTTTTGTTTTTTGTATAGAAAAGGTCTTGCTATGGTGCCCAGGCTGGTCTTGAACTCCTGACCTTATGTGAACCTCCTTTGACTTCCCAAAGTGCTGGGATGACCGGTATGAGCCACTGAGCCTGGCCTGTTATTTTTTTCCTTAAGTTATCAAATTCTGAGGTTGAATGTCTTTGAGAAGTATCCCAAACATAATCTAGCAGTCAAATATATTTGAGAAATATTGACTCAACTGTTTAATTAAGGCATTCAACATCTATGTATCAAATGTTTTCCCTATGAACCAGTCAAAAAACTGTATGTTTTCTTGACCATGGACTTTTTGAGCCTTTCTTTCAACATTGGCGTCCATGGAAACATGCCTGCATAAGTGCCACAGCCACCGGGGCATCAGTTTCTGAGCAGGCCAGGGGAGACGAGGTCCTGCTTCAGAGACACACAGTACCTGGCTTGCAGTGGCCAAACACAGCGAGAGCTGATCCCATGCTCACGCAGCTGGATCTCTAGTCCGCAGGCGGCCTTCGCTCACTGCAGCTGGAGAGGGCCCCAGGCTGGTGACCAACACATGTTCTGTACACAGCTAGCGTCTCCCTTCTCCCTCTCTTTTGCCTTCTTTTTCTTCTTGGCTTTTTTTTTTCCATGATGGCTTACCGATCTACAATATTGCCAAGTTTGTCTTTGTTTTGTGTTGCTGCAGAGAAAGAAAAGACTTTGTTCCTCCGGCATTTAAATATTCCAGCCCAGAAGTGACACTTGTCATTTCTGCTTACAACTCATTGGCTGGAACTGGTTACATGGCCCCAGCCAACCACACAGCTATCCGGGAAGTTCTGTCCTACCATGGACGCAGAGGGTGGAGAGCCAGAAAGACATGGTGAACAGCGTTAATGATGGTCATATGTGAGGGTGGCCATGATACTTCTCCAGATTGTGGTCAGGGGCTCCCTCCTGTAATCCTAGTGCTTTGAGAGACCAAGGCACTCTGCTGGCTTAAGCCCAAGAGTTGGAGGCCAGCCTGGGCAACACAGCAAGACCCTGTCTCTACAAATAATAATAATAATAACAAATAGTAAGAATAAGTTCATTGGGCATGGCGACGCATGCCTGCAGTCATAGTTAACTGGGAGGCTGAGGTGGGAGGATTGTGAGCCCAGGAGTTGGAGGCTGCAGTGAGCCATGATCGCACCACTCCACTCTTGCCTGGGTGGCAGAGCAAGACCTTTTCTCTATTTAAAAAAAAAGGCTCATAGAAACGCCTTCATGAGGCACATGGAATGCTGTGTCCCCGAGGGCCGCCTGGGGGAATGCTGGATTCTAGTCTGGAAGAATGAGGTCCAGCAGAAGCAAACCCACGGGAGGGGACTTCATCAGTGTGGAGTTTCCACCCACTTCCCGGGGGGGTCCTTCCATCAGTCACTGACCCCCTGGTTTTGCCGCCGTCTCTCCATCCTGTGTGCAGGACCCCTGTCAGTCTGTGAGACTCCCTCCCGGAAGCAGAGGCCTTTGAGCCTGTTGCATGCTCTCCACCCTCCGAGGCCGCTGGCCTGGAGCAAGAGGGGCTTGTTTTGCTCTTGACCCGATGAGCTGAGCCCATGGCAGACCATCTTTCAGTGCAGCTCCGAAGAGAGAAATCCCACACAGACTCCACCTGGCACCCAGGCTGCCAGAATGGACTCCCACATGGAACTGGGAACACACACCACCTCCCATGGATGCGTCATCCTCCCGCAGGGGCAGCCGGACACGGCTGCATGCATGCGTGGTCAGGGCTGCCGAGGAGCTGGGCAGCATGGACGGGGGTCGGGGGCGTGGGGGTGTGGCCCTGTGGGAGGGAACACCTTCTCAGGCCACCGGTGTATGGTGAAGACACAACTGCCATGGCGCTCACACGCCGGCCTCCAAAGGAGGGTGCGTATTGAATGTGACAGGAGTGGATACGGGTGTCCTGGGGGCCTGTGTGTGTGTCTCGACACTGGCTTCTTCTCCAGCTGGGTTTTGGCTGGCAGAGGTGGGGCGGGTTGGCTCTGCAGAAAGTGCCCTCAGAGTCCTGACCTGGAGATGAGGACCCGGGCCGAGCCTGGCCAATGAGGATGGCCTGCCCGAGCCGGCAGCGCCTCTCCCGGTCCACATCACCAAGCCCAGTGACTGTGCAGTGCTGACCAGCACCCCGAGGTTCTCAACATGCCACCAGGTCGGCTCCTTGGGTGTCTGTAAATCCCAAGAAGGGGGAATTTCAAAAACAAGAAGAGAAAGAATCGGCAGGGATGTTGTATGCCTTCTCTAATTCAGAGTCAGACATGCCCTTTCGACCTTCCTTTTCCAGGTCTCACAAGCTGAAACTGAAAAGCATCTTTCAGACCCTTACTGTGTGGTGTCTATGACTGTGGGGAGAGCGCATGTTCTAGACAATCGAGTGCCCACAGATTCAGACTCGGTGGCCGGGCTGCTTTGCTGGGGGTTTTGACGGGTGGAGTTGGGAGGTGCCCACGTGGGGCAGGACAGAGCCTGGGGCAGGGGCACCTGTCGTGTGGACGTGCCTCTCCTGCTCGGGGGTCAAGCGGCCTTCCCCCTCTGGGTCCCAATGTCCCCATTTGTTAAACAAACACAACACGGGGACTTAGTGCCTGCCGTGACAACCCATTTGTTTGGTATGTTAAGAACGCACTTGCATGGCACCGTTCTGTCTGGAGGACCCTTTCTTCCACCCCGCAAGGTGTCTTCCTGTCCCCACAGCCTGGTGGGGCAGGCAGCTGTGCGTGTGGTCCGCCCTGCTTCAGCGGGCTGCACACAAGCCCGGGCCACCCAGGCCTCTGACTTCGTCTCTTGGTCAGTTGGTTTCTATTGGGTGGTTCCAGCTTGGTTTTGGGGGTTTTTTTGTTTTTGGAGTTTTTGGGGTTTTTTTGAGTCAGGGTCTCATTCTGACATGCAGGCTGGAGTGCAGTGGCGCAATCTCAGTTCACCACAGCCGCGACCTCCTGGGCTCAGAGTGATCCTTCTGCCTCAGCCTCCTGAGTAGCTGGGACCACAGGCACACGCCACCACACCCAGCTAATTTTTTTATTTTCATTTAGTGGAGATGGGGTCTCGCTTTGTTGCTCAGGCTAGTCTCGAACTGCTGGCCTCAAGCCATCCTCCCACTTAGGCCTCCTAAAGTGCTGAGATTACAGGCGTGAGCCACTGTGCCCGACAGTTCTAACTTTTTAAACTAACGGTGTAGACAACTTTAGAAGTACCTTTCATTTTACTTTTGATTAAAAGTATTATTGAAGGGCACTCAGCCGCCTCTGGGGGGCTCAGCACCATCTGCGCTCAGGAACCACAGAAAGCGAATCATCCGTGGGACGCGCCTTCCGCCCCAAGCGTGTGAAATCTCCGGCTTTCCTCACGTGTTCCCTGTGTGCCCTGCCTCCATGTCTGTCTGCCCCGGTGACCCAGGTTAATGTGGCAGCTCTGGCCCCTGTAGGCACTCAGGGTGACGCCCAGCCTTGTGAGAGGTGTCCACCCCTAAGGATGGATGCGCGTGGTTTTTCGTTCTGAAGTAACCTGATCCAAACGAAATCTCCTTGACTATTTGGCATGGCGAGAACAATCGCGTCAGGAATGCTTTCAAATCCAGGAATGAGTGTGTTTCACCGGAACCTTCTTTCCAAGCAAAAATGGGCTCTGACGTTGGGCACTGGACGCCTCGGGGTCCTCACCGGGATTCACGCTCGGGTTCATGGTCCTTCTGTCTCGCACATTGTGGCTTCTTGGAGGTGGCTTATCTTGGTGTCACGAGCCACGGCAGGTGACCACGTCTGCTTTGATTTCCCAGGTTGTGACTTTCACCATCCAAGCCTCATAGGTGCTGCCAGGATTTTTTTAAAGAGGAGCATTTTTCCCGTCTCTGCTCAGGCTTCACGTCACCAGAGATGGCGTCCCACCCACTCAGCCCCGGGTTGGCCACAGCATTTTTGTACCTGCCATTATGGGATTCGTGGTTTGGATTTGTTTTGTGATCTTCGTGGCAGGGTGGCAGATCTGAGGGGGTGGGGCAGGCCACCTCTGTCCCCAGCGTCTGGCCACATGGTCACTTCGTGGTCACCTGATGCCTGACTGCTGTTTCTTCTGTTTCACAGGACCCGACACTCTGCAGACGAGCATCCCCCCAGCCCCGGAGTCATTCCCTGCCGGGAAATTGCTGCCAATTTCACCAACATGGCCTTTCTCAGAAGTCAAATTTTCCTCCGCGGCGGATGGCATCAAGGCTGTGCTGGGACAGGACCCTGACGGCACCAGTGCGAGGCCGCTGGCCCGAAGCTCTCCACCCAAGACACACCGCAGAGCCCGGGCCCACGCGGACCTCTCTCCCTCCCTGCATGGAGGAAGCCCCGGCGCATCCCTCCAGCCTTCTGAGGATTCTCCCGAGTCCCTAGCCCCGCCTCCAGAGAGACAAGAAGCAGCCGTGGTGGCAGGTGTGCCTCTCACCAGCATGCTCCCCCTGTGGTCCTCCATCCCGTCAGGGCCGCTCTCGGGCACCGTTCCCCCATCTCAGCCAGCGGGGGCGGGAACCTCCTCCATCTCGCTGAGTTCCCCAAGGCCAGACACTCCCCCTGCACCCCCGCACCCTTCACTGGCCCCCGCCCTACCTCATTCCATCACCTTTTCTGAGCCAGCCGGGCCTCCCGCCCATGGGCCACCAGGCTCCCACCCTGCGCCGGCCTGGCCCACTTCCCATCAGAGCCTAGTGACCCCCACAGACACGTTTTCTGGTGATGCGAGCCACGCTCCTTCCGAAAGCGTCCGGGACCCCGTAGGCATCCTGGGGCCAGGCTCACCCACACCCGAAGTCTTGAGCCCCGCGGCAGAGCTGGCCCGTCCGTCCCCCCGTCCCCTGGCAACTGGCGATCTTCCTCAGCTCCTGGGGGGACCCCCCTCCTGGTTAGTGTCGGAGGCAGCTTTGGGTCCTGCGTCCCCCTGGCCCATCTCAGCCAGGGTGGCAGGAGGGGTGCACCCCAGGGTGTCACAGCTGGCTGTGACCAGCACGGCAGTCCCTGAAGCCCAGCCTCTGC